GTCTTTGACCTCCGAAGTACTTTTAGACTGATCGAGTCTAATTAAGTTAATGAATTAGAACTGTCATATATTTTCTTTACTTTTAAACTAGTGTGCAATTTCAGGGTCTTCGATAGTTTATTATTCTGTATCACTTTTTTACACCGATCAACAGTGTCGCCACTCAGGCACTCATTATATATGTTGCATTTGATACATAATAAACCTTTCATTTGTCACATAATATGGTTATTGATAAATTTAGGGGTTGTTTATCAAATGCTTATTGGGTATGTGCTTACTAGCAATAGTCACCATCATCATTTATGTATCATSTAACATTATCAACCATCAAATGGATTGTTGATAAGCGTTTTAGCCGATAAACACTAACCGGGTAAGACTGTAAGAGTCTTCTCCCAGACTTATCAGGAAAGATTTCAGTCACTGTTATACCTCTTACTGATTAAGATTCTCGATCTTTGTCATTCTCACGCATTAAGATAAGYAACCCTAGTAAGAGCTTAAYCGGTAAGCGTTCGGTAAACARCCCCTAAGTTYAGGAAATACGTAAACTATTAATCTTGTAATTATTTATTAAAATATTTCAAAAAGAGGCTTTATCAAATCCTTATCGGGCTCAACCAATATTGGGCTTTTTGGGCCTGATACTATGCTTATCTTGGGCTTCGGTCAATTTCAAGCTTTGTACCCCATGACAAAGATGGCCAAAAATCAATCTTAGGGTGGTCCTAAATCGGTTCCCTCGTCGGTTAGACTCCGTCACGGTTTCGATAAAAACTCGCATGGCTGATTCTATGCTTGGTAACTGGTTTCGGGCTCGTTGGGCCAATCCCGAAAATCCATGCATTTATTTAAATATTGAATATGTTGAAAATTTTGGAATTTTTTTTTGAAAATCTCGTATTATAATTAATAAAAACTTAAAAGAAGTTGAAAATCGGTCCAGTACATAATCATCCCAGACCGGACTATGAAATTCAATAAATTTGTAGCGGTCCAGAACTGTCAGGGCAAAAACCCGTCCCAATCAATCCCAATTCCCAAGTCGGGTCAGGCCCACACAACTAATATTTGTAACCACAGAATGTTAATGGTTTGAGAATTTAATGAGTTACTCAAACTTATACTTAGTAATTTTCGAGATCGAGTAAATACCAAACACTAAGTAAAATTCATTTAACTTAACGAGTCAAATTTCATAACATCAATATTCGACTTAGGGACTGTTTGGCAATTGCTGAATGATTTGGTGCTAAATGATTAAGTGGTCTGAATGATTAAGAGGCTCTAATGATATAGTGCAAAATAAAATATAATTGTTTGGTAATTGTATACAATGAAATTAGGGCTCTTAATGGTTAAGGGAGATCCATGATACAAAATCATTCAGAGGGTTTTAGAATCATTAAGAGGCGGACTTTTTTTTTTTTTGCCAAACAAGATTCACCTCTTAACGATTCAGATGTCGCCTCTTAATTGAAGTATTAAGAGATACACAAACAACCTCTTAGCTTTTTTCGAAAGTTGAGCCATATTTTTTGAGCCGAACATATTTGTTCATAAAGCATAGAATCAAAATATCGATTCCGGCCATTAAAGAAGTTCACTCAACTCGAGTTCGAGTCCATAAATGAGCTTATAAAGCTTTACTGCAGGTCAATAATGTACAACACAAAATTGTGAAACTCACACTAGAGCTCGAGCTCGAATACTGAAAATTGTTCTAGTTCAACTATGATATTATTTTTGCAAGTCGATCCCAAACAATCTGATACTTCGACTCATAAACACCCCTAGTGCCTAGTGCATCATTGAATCACTTTCTCGTATGGATACGTTTGCACGTTCTCATTCTTAGTAGTATATAAATAGCACTCAACCACAAAGGTGGTGCCTGATTAGTTTGTGTTTGGCTCCAAAGGTCAAAAATACCAGGAGGTCTCAGGTTCAAATCTAAGAAGGAATAAAAATCGCCTTGTGGCCACGGAGGTTCAAATGAGGTGACTCCGGGCTATCTGCAAAGCAGGTGGTCACCCTGTGATTAGTCGGCTCGCATAGCGGGTTGAATATACAGGTTAATAAAAAAAAATAGCACTCAGGAAGGCCCAATACTGTTGATACAACTTGTTCTATTTAGGAAAATGGCCAAAGATCGTTTTTTCGGTTTGTTTGAATCATGCGACGGTTTATAAATGATTATAATTCAAAAAAACGTTCGTTTGTGAAAAATCGGATACCAATTAGGACCAATACAGATCATTCTGTTAAATGGGTTTGAAGTAATATCAAAATTTGGTTGCGAAGACCTACCTAAATCAAAATCGTGGTTATGTGAAAAGTATAATTTGGATCGATTATGAGACCAATTTATTAACCATAAATCAAAATATTGGTTTGCCTAGAGATAAGGGTGTTCATGGGTTGAGTTGATCGGGTTGAAGACATTTGAACAATCCAATTCAATGCTTGCGGTTTGAAAAATCTTAACCCAACCCAACCCAAACCGTACGGGTTGGTCGGGTTAATACTTTGGTACATCAAAATACTTTTCTAACCTTGAATATGTTATTTCTCTACTTATAATTTCTTTTTCATCATCAACCATTTGATACAACTTATCCATACTTCTTACGTATATCACATTTAATTAATTTTCTCAATTTGACATATATATGTTCACAGTTACCGAACATATATATGAATGAGTTGTATAGAAAATGAGAATAGATTGAAAATTTGTATAAATGAAGAGGGTACATGATAGTGTAATTTTCTAATGTATATATTAATATAAACTCAACAATCATATTAAATCCAAGAAATAAAATGATATTTGGTTCATCGGTTGGGTTGAGTTCAAATAATAGTAACCCAATATCAATCCAATACCCACGGTTTGAAAATTTTACAACACGATTAGACATCAGGTTTCTTCAGGTTGAGTTATTTCACGTTGAGTTGATCGGGTTGGTTGGGTTTTTKAGCACCCCTAGCTAAATACATGAAAACTTATATCAGTTCTAAGATTTAAGCAGACAAGAAGATGTCGACAAAATGAAAAGACTAAACCAATATAAAACTAGCCTTTGCAAGCATGCTGTTATTCTACAAATCTGTTATCAACTCAGGCGATACGAAAGAACGCTGGAAGACCTTTCCTTCCATGAAATGTAAGGGCTACTATATTTGATTCTATTTTCGGTTCTAGATTTAGAAAGACCGATTTTCGGTTTAACTGTTAAATATGAATGTCATATTTAGGGGGTGTTTGCGATTGTTTACAAAAACAACTTATTGACTTATTCCGATGTGACACCGGTAATAAGCATTTTTGAATGTTTGGATAAACAGTTTATATCGGTGTCAAACTGGTAATAAAAAGTTTCTGAAGAAGCTAAATTATTCTAACTCATAATAAGTTCATAAAGACTTTAAAAAAAAACATTTATAAACACCTCCTTAATAAATCATTTCCATTATAATATTTTAATAAAATATTATTATTTTCAATACATTTTTCATGTTGTTGGTGACTCATATGGCATGGCTTTTAGCATAAGGGTAGGTAAGTCATTTTTCAATCGTTATAAATATCAACCAATTTTTAGTTTTCATTATTATTAAAATGAAATTAGTTTTGGCTATTATCCTAAAAAATAATTTAATTTTGAAAAATTATAATAAAAATTGTGAAACTTTCGAAAACTAATTAAATCCATAACCTTTTCATGTAAAACTGCTATAAAATTATCTGAATTTAAGGGTTGTATGGTTTAGGCAGGAAAATGAGAATGAATTTTTATTCTCACAGTTTAATTTGGAATGGAAATTTGGACATGTATGAGAATGGGTCATATTATAAAACTAAACAGTTTCTTTTATATTCAATCTCATTAATGACTGCTTAATACCTCTAACCAAACACTCCTTAATTTTTTTTACGTAAATGAGGATCCTTACATAAATCTTTTACGTATATGTGGATATTTATGTAAATCTATGTAAAGAGTGTCTCTTTTTTTTTTTAATATGTTAATCAATTTTATGCAAATATATACAAGGGGTTGTTTACCAAAATTTTTATTAAGTTTTGCATAGATAAAATTGTCTGTCTGGATAAATGGGTGTTGTTGTTTACTTTGTTTATCTGAACCAACAGTCTGAATAACATAAATGACCGATTTACCCCAATATTAATTATTTGAACATCAAAACAACAAATCATAAAGAGGCCGAAGATGAGGTGTCTCATATGGGAAGTAGGCGATGCTTTAAATAAGGGGTAGGGGTGTCATTTTTGTGGTTGAATAGGGACAACATACCATTTCTATCTATACGATTAAGCCATGTTCTGTGCAAAAAAGTCGTAAGTAAACAACCTAAATAAACTGTGCGAATAAGCCAGATAAACCAATAAGCCTAATTAAGTCGCAAGTAAACATCCCCAAGACATTTATGTGAAGTGTGACTAAAAAAGATTAGAAATTGAGCTTGATTAAAAATAGTAGCTATTTTGGTAAAGGGACTCTCATTACCATTTCTAAAGTTGAATGGTCAAATCCTAAATAAAGTGAAGAAACATTGTGGTCCACTTCGATTGATAAGTAAAGGTAATATCGAGGGCGTTTTGATTATTTTGGGGTGATTTTGATTATAAGGTATGGACGGGTCTCATATGTATGTTATTTGGGGGACAAAAATCAGATATTATATTTGATAATGGGCAAATCGCCCTTAAAAAGTGAAGATCGTCCCATGATTTTGACCTATATTTCGTCTTCTAGTGAAAACAACTTATGACGCAACGATTTGATACATCAACGACGATTTGTCAAGAGATTGCGGACGATTTTCATTGGTATTTTGTCTTTTCTAGGACCAAATATAGTGTGTGTGTGTGTGTGTGTGTGTGTCTAAATCTTGTAGTATTTTTTATAAAATTGTAGTGATCCAAACATTTCTACTCTCACAACCCTTAAACGTAATCTACCGTCACGACCCTTATCACAAATATAAAATCACGCTAAAATGATAATGGTTCCATGTATGTTCAAAGTGGCAGGTTAGGGGTTGTAAGAGTAGAAATGTTTGGATCACTACAATTTAATATAGAATAATACAAGATTTGTATATATTACATTTGGTCATAAAAAGACAGAATACCACTGAAAATCGCCCTCGTTGTCTCGTCAAATCGTCATTGATGTGTCAAATCGTTGCGTCATAAGTTGTCTTTAATAGAAGACGAACTAGAGGTCAAAATCGCCCCCATAGGGCGATTTTCACTTTTTGAGGGTGATATGCCCATTTTCAAATATAATATCTAATTTTATCCCCCAAATAATATACATGTGAGACCCATCCATACCTTATAGTCAAAATTGCCCCAAAAAATAATCAAAACCGCCCTCCAGGGGCGATCTTGTTGGTCATTTTGTGAAAAACTTTGAAAAGTGGTTATTTTATTATTTTACAGTGTATAAAATAATTACTTTGAGTAATTTCCCATGAATAAATGTTTGGTGGTGAGGCTTTTGCCATAGGTAATCAGTTCAAGTCGTTTTGAGGGGATAAAAATATGTTATTCTAGGATCATGCGTTTCTTTCCTGTTCAGCCAATGAAATTGAGACATGTCGGGTTTTTTTAATATTCTAGACCTATTTTATTTAAATTCACATTCTCTATTTGATGATATGTATTCATGTAATTGATGAACATAAATAACATGTGAAAATTTAGAACAGAAGAATTTTTCCGTTTTAGGACAACTAAGGGTTTTCCATACTGTTATCTCTCCATAGAGTTGATCAAAGACGTTTGCAAGTTGTTTCAGACACTCACAGTTAAAATAAAATAAAAACCCCATTTCAGAATAGGACGAACAACACCTCATTTCGTTGCATTAGCGCCCGCTTTCCTACATCAATTTCATTTCTTTTTCATGTACATCGATTACAAGAAAGGAGCAATAAATTGGGGTTTGTCGAGACCAATGCTACGAGCTCCCAGCCAGCAAATGATTAGCCTTCCTCTATAAGGGGTTCTACCACTATGGGGCCAAATCATAGTCAAAAGAAGACTATTGATATAAAAAGTGTAGTATCTGATAGTTTAATAATAATCAGGGTCTTCGACTCAAATGACCATTTCACGTATCCAAATTCGGTTTTTAATCATTTCTCTTCTGGATTGACTCAAATCATTACTTTCGTAATATTCAGGTCGGCAATATTACGGACCTAGCTAAAACAAACTAAATTATAATACCATATTTTATCTTTGATGCCATTTTCAGCCTCTGAATTATCATCACCAAATATCTGCTTTGTAACTCCCAATTCCTGATATATATATGAAACCAAAGCACAAAACCATAAAACTATCCAATCAAGAGCTTATTCAAAATCGGTTATTATAACAACACCGATCTGAACAATTTATTTACGGAGTCTAACCTGCATGGAGCAGAAATGACCAAAAAGCCTGCACAAGATAGCCTAGACAATGAAGAACACCGGAATGGCGATAGCAAGTATCACCGACAATTTACATGTTTTCTTTTCATTTGAGCTACTCGTTAACAAAGGGTTTCTTGTATATCTGTCAAATAATTTACAAAAACATTTTCAAAATACAGAGATATTTAAAAAAAATTCAGAATAAAATAACATAAAGATTAACTTACGATAAATTTAACTGGGAATTTCTTAATAGTGACCTCGGTATGGATCCCTTGAATTGATTATCCGCCAAATTTCTACATGAAAAATAGAAAATAATATAAATTWGAATAACTGAAGTTTGATACTATTAATATTTGGCAAAAATACAATAAAGTCTGTCTTAATTTTAATTGGTGTAACAAATTTTCTTTTCTCAACCAGTATAAAGTTTTAAAATATCTTATTTAATACAATACAGATCTAGGTTTTTAACTCACTGATCATCTACTGATTTTGTAACATTTGATGATATGACTGTTAATTTTATCTTTCAATTCGTTCATAAATTCTTTTGTAAACAGACGTTCACACATAAGATCGATGTTATGCTTGGAATTAAGAAGGGAAAATTGCACCAAAATGGAACCAACTTTCACCTGATTCCTATTTTGGGAATCAACTTTCAAAATCGTCATTTTGGGGAACCAACTTGCACCTGATTCCTATTTTGGGGAACCAACTTTCAAAATCGTCATTTTGAGGAACCAACTTGCACCTGATTCCTATTTTGGGGAACCAACTTGCAAAATAATTATAGAAAAATAACTAAAATTCGTTTTTTTTTCAAAAATTTAATTTTCATTTCAAATCTCGTTTTTTTAAATTCAGATATCAAATTGAAGATTTTTTCAAAAAAAAAAAATCCAAATTACCACAATAAAAAATGTTTTGTACTAATGCAATAAAAAAAATCAATTTAATAGAAAAAATTAATTGATGCAATAAAAAATAAATATTAAATATCACATTCAAGATTTTTATATCTAACCAATCTGTATCAATATTAAAATTTAAATCAAATTTGGCAAATCAAACCAAAAGTTTGATAGAGACCCTTAAATTACATATTACCTGTTCACCAGATCATCCAGACCCTTAAATAAACAAAAAGTTTAATAGAGACTCATAAATGACAATTTTAAAAGTTGGTTCCCCAAAATAAGAATTAGATGAAAATTAATTCAATTTTGATACAATTTTCACAATTAAGAACTCACAGTTGTTTAAGATTTAACATATTGCCAAGGAAATCGGGTACATATCCAGTCAAGTTGTTATTATGTAAATCTCTGCACATATAAAACAAATATTATAAAAATAATTATTTAATTATGACTAATAAATAATTAAAAAAATGATTTAATTAAATTATAAATTCACATTATTTCAAGTGCATCCATGCTCTTAAAGTCCGGAAGTGGCCCAGAGAGGCTATAACCATTCAGATTTCTGTCAAAAAAAAAGACATTTATATAAAAATCAAAATTAAATCAATTTTTTTATTAACTTGGATATCTAACTCTCTATGCGAGCCGACTAATCCCAGGACGACCATCTGCTTTGTAGATATCCCGGAGTCACTGTATTTGAACTTCCGTGGCCACAAAGGGATTTTTATTCCTCCTTGTATTTGAACCTGAGTTCTCCTCGTACTTTTGACCTTTGGAGCGAAGCTCAAACCAATCAGGCACCACCCTTGTGGTTAAAATATAAAAATAAAAAGGAACGAGAAGATGGTTTTTACAGTGATGTTACACGAGGTCTAGGATCATCGTTGCATTCGATCCAATCCCATGAATATGGCGCGGGAAGACACGGGTCTCCCTCCCAATCTTTTAAAACGTCAAATGCGCTTTTAAGAGAATCTAAACCTTCGGCTATATCGATAAACGGGAAAAAATATATAATAAGTTGTTCGTGTGATAAAATGGAAGCTAAAAATCTTCAACTGTGTAAAAAAAAAACAGACCCGTGTTAAAAAATATACCATTGTTGTCGTCGGTCCCATTGGTTAGGGCATCACTGATCGAAAAGATCTCGATGGCATTGACGAGAGGGGGAAGCGTGGAATCATCGGTAGTAACGATGGAGAAGTTAATGGTGCCATTGACAGAGAGATCCGAGACGAGTAATTGAGACACATAACCGATACGGGGTACAATTGGGAGTGAGAAGTTATCATCGTCTTTGTAGATTTCGAAAGACCGGTATTCTCCGAGTCCGAGCCCTTGGACTTCAGTGAAATACCAGTTTATGTACATTGGATAACGAGTGGGGTAGTTAACGATAGGGAAGCTCAAGGTTATATGGAATAATTTGTGTCCATTGTCGCAATTGCACCATTCATGACCCGTGTAGGAGGATTATCGATTGAATTGTCATCGATGGTAGATGTGTTGTTAAGACGTACTAGTCCAATACCAATGTTCTCGGGAACCCATATTCTATCATACGGGTCTTCCGGAAATCTAAGAAGTTAAAAAGATTTTGCATTAATCGAATATTCTAAAACATGGATAGACGACAATAGGGGTGCGCATGGGTTGGGTTGATCGAGTTGAAGACATTTAAACAACCCAACCCAATGCTTGCGGTTTGAAAAAAAACATAACCCAACCCAATCCAAACCAAAGTGCAACCCTATAGTTGTAACTTGCATACCTGATTATACTTCCATCAGATAGGCCATAACCAATCCTATAGTTGGTGAGTAACGCGTAATCCGGACCGATACCGTTGTAGGCTTCCGGGTCGATGCCACGTACTTCAAGAGACGATATAAACGGAACCTGGTTCGGAAATTTTCGTGCCACACATACACTGATAACGTTCCTTTTCACAACATAAATAGCTTCATAGAATTTTGCTTCCGAAGTGTCGACAGTGATCCAAAAGTATTGTTTTATGTATTAAAAAATTGGAAGATGATTTATACATAAAATCATTTTTGCTAAGAGTCGATTGTCAATCAGCAAAACTAATTTTAATATATATATATATATATGGGTTGAAGACCATATGCAATTAGGGAGACAATAACAATAATCATGATTCACTAGTTTTTGATGGTGTGGTTTGATGGTGTAATTTTAGTATTTTTGTGGCAACTTGATCGATGGTTATATATATAAATACAAATCTAATTAAACTTGTCTTTTCTTGTTCCAAAATTACATTTTTGTTGGATACCAATCTAAAAAACCACCATAACACGTGATGAGACCTCATCTTCTTCGTTTCTTATCAAATTTGGACCCATTTTTGAATGACAACTCATCTTCTTCGTTTATTGATGTATATATCAAAGGTATGATACATACATGCATGCATACATACATACATACATACATACATACATACATACATACATACATACATACATACATACATACATACAAATGAGAACTGATTAGTTTGTGATAACTATGAGATTTAATCTCAACCACAAATCAACGGATAAAATAAGAAATTAATAATTATGGTAGTTTGACTTAAAATTATAATTAGAGGGTTTTTTAGGTATTTTAAAAAAAACTCCTGTCCTCTCTCCTCTTTCATCTCTCCGACCTCCGATCTCCGGCCTCCGATGAACATTAATCCGGCGTGTACTAAGTAATCACAAAGATACACAATGTGATACCCATTGTGATATATTGTGATACCAACTCAAACCTTAAAAACARAGATACAMAATGTGATACCCATTGTAATACACAATGTGATACCCATTGTGATATACTGTAATACCGATTTCACCAGAGGCCGGAGATTGGAGGACGGAGAGATGAGAGAGGATAGAGGAGTTTTTAAAAAATACCTAATATGCCCTCTAATTATAATTTTAACTCAAATTACCATAATTCTTAATTTTCTAATTTATCCAGTTGATTTGTGGTTGAGATTGGATCTCACAATTACCACAAATTAATCAGTTCTCATTTGATTAGGCCCATTTATATAAATTTCCTAATTTATTTATTGATTTGTGGTTGAGATTGGATCTTACAGTTACCATAAACTAATCAGTTCTCATTTGATTAGGCTCATATATATATATACTAGAAGCGTACTCGCGCAATGCAGCGAGATACATCGTGATTTTAATATTTCATTTTATTCTTTATCTCAATCGATGTTATAATATGACTTTATATGATTTTGAGAAATCGATGATGTTTTTATTTTTGAATAAAATATATGTTTGAAGATATCATAAAAAATTGACAAA